CATCGAAGAAATGAGGACCAATCAAGTAACCATTTATAATCCCACACCAAATATTTATACTCTCGATGCTGATTATCTACTTATCTATGCCAAATAGGGTTAACATTCGACCAATAGTGACAATTATGTGTATTCAATTCATCATTATTTTTGAACGTCGATTCATCAGAGAACATAACATAATAGAAGAAATTCGGGTCAGCTCTGATTATTTGTTGTGCTCAATGACAAAATTGTACACGCAACTGCATATGACTGTTGACTAAGAGCATGTCTTAACGTGATATGGTAAGGACGGTACTTCACTTCCTTTAAAATTCTCAAGATCGTTGTTTTCGGTATACCAATTTCTCTAGCCATAACCCGACTATTTGAATGAGGATTAAGATGAATAGCTGCCAAGATAACGAGCACACACACATCGTCTTCATTATGCTCACGATGTTCTCTTTGGCGCCTTAAATAGCCTTGGCGAGTTCTTCCTTCAAGGTTCCGGATTACGGACTGATTCGGGTTTACGGGATTACGAGAATCTTCCCAGCAAACACAGAATATAACTGCTATATAACATGGGAATAACATGTAATGTAACGGTTGTCCATTGTTGATCAGTATCAAACTTCATTGCTTTTTTCTCGTAATCACTAACTCATAAACTCACGATGTTCTCTTTGGCGCCTTAAATAGCCTTGGCGAGTTCTTCCTTCAAGGTTTTGGATTACGGACTGATTCGGGTTTACGGGATTACGAGAATCTTTTTCATTGTTGATCAGTATCAAACTTCATTGCTTAGGGGCTTACGTCCACTCATGATTGATTATACTCCCTCGGAGATTGTTGATATTCTCCTTGTTCTTGGAGAATATCAACGAAATTATCGTGAAGCTTTGCGAGTTTACCGGAATCGTTATCTCGAAAGAGAACACCCGTAATCCGGAACCTTGAAGAAAGACCTTGCCAAGGCTATTTGAGACGCCAAAGAAAACATCGTGAGCATAATGAAGACGATGTGTGTGTGCTCGTTATCTTGGCAGCTATTCATCTTAATCCTCATTCAAATAGTCGGGTTATGGCATTATAGAGAAATTCGTATACCGAATACAACGATCTTGAGAATTTTGAAGGAAGTGAAGTACCGTCCTTACCATATCACGTTAACACATGCTCTTAGTCAACAGTCATATGCAGTTGCGTGTACAATTTTGTCATTGAGCACAACAAATAATCAGAGCTGACCCGAATTTCTTCTATTATGTTATGTTCTCTGATGAATCGACGTTCAAAAATAATGATGAATTGAATACACAGAATTGTCACTATTGGTCGAATGTTAACCCTATTTGGCATAGATAAGTAGATAATCAGCATCGGTAAAGTATAAATGTTTGGTGTGGGATTATAAATGGTTACTTGATTGGTCCTCATTTCTTCGATGGAAATGTAGATAATAGAGAGAATTTTCTGGAACTTCTCAGGGATCATTTATCACAACTACTTGAAGACGTTGATTTGGACACACGACAGAGAATGTGGATACAACTGGACGAGGTGCCACCTCATTATGCGACAATAGTGAGAGATTATCTAGATCGGAAGTACAATGATAGGTGGATTGGACGACGTGAACCCGTCGCATGGCCTCCACAATCTCCTGATATGACTTCACCCAACTCCTTTTTATGGGGGTATATAAAAAATGTCGTCTATGAGCATGCGCCTACAATCAGAGAAAATATGATAGGAAGAATACGAGTAAGTTGCAGGAATATACCGTGCGCTGTCTTACTCAAAACGGTCAGACATTTCCAAGATAGATCGGCGTTATGTATTCTAGCCAACCGAGATAATTTCGAACAGTTTCTTCGATAGAAAGGTTGGTAAATTTGTGAAAGGAGATGTGACTCCCGTTAATCAAGCAACCCGAATCGTGAGAGGCATGGGGACTCACGTAAATCAAGTACCCTGAATCGTGGGAGGCAAGGGGACTCACGTAAATCAAGCACCTCAAAGGGATGAAAGCCCCGCCACATCCACGTCGTTCATCCTAGGTAACACTAAGCACGGGGAAATGCGTGTCAATCGGTCTGGAGCTGGTGGACCATTAAACAGAATCAGTTCAGATAATGGATAGGAACAACACACACACACGCACAGAGGTGGAGGGCGGTTTGGACTCACAAAATACGCACACTGTATAGGGGGGTGGAAGCTTTTTATTTAAATAATAAACTTTGGAACACTGTAACTCAGTGAAAAATGATCCAATTTTAAAAAACAAAAAACCATTGTATTCGTCTCAGTGTTAGCTGCAACTTTTATCTCGAGAAAAAAATCTACTTCCATTTTAAAAAATGGCCGCCATGATGAAATATCTAAAGTGGTGCCATCAACAATTAAATTGGAAATATCATCATCTTTCTCCTTCGATACCATAAAACTTTTGTCTGAAACATTTTTTTGAAAAACTTCTTGTTTTCGAGATATTCCAGTGGATTGATTAAAATAGTTCACCCTGTATATATAACAGCATTATTATTCTTACTCATCTTTAAGCGCGTATATACGCACGCATATGCACAAATGCGTAATAAGCGAAAACAAGATGAAAATTGTATAAATTAGAAACTTGCACTTTGCTTTCTCATCATTTTATTTCACTCACAAAGTTTAAGCTCCTTAAAGCGAGCAGGTTTGTGCAAATTTGGCTTGCTCACAGAGGAAATTTGCGAAAGTTAGAGCGTGTACAGACATTTCCCAAAAAATTCAAAATTTTATAAAAAGTGAACCCTTATGTAAAAAAATTTAACCCGATATCTCAAAATTTGCGAAAGTTGCAGGATGTTCAGACATTTTTCAAAAAATTAAAGATTTTATCAAATATGAATCCTTTCACCGATCTTCACCAAATTCAATACCAAACATCTTTTAATGAGATTCTATTCATTTTAAAAAATTTATCCCGGTATCTCAAAAATTGCGGAAGTTAAAGATTGTATAATATATATTGCGTACATACATACATACATACATACATACAGACATTTTATAGGAATATGATTTTTCGATGTTTTCGAACATTCTAAACACATTAGCATAGAAAATTCGAAAAAATATTTTGTCACGGAAACAAAGCTTCCTCTATGAGGAAGCAAAAAGAGAGAAAGAGAAAGAAAGCAGGAAAGAACGAGAGAGAGATAGCGAAAGAGAAAGAATAATTGCTAACGCTGTATAGCCGCTAGCGCCATCTCGTGTCGAAAGCGTAACCGTACATTTTGGAAGGGTCGTTGATGACGACCAAAAAATGTAATAAAATCTACTACATTGGGACTTCGCATCGTAATTTCTCTGCTTATAGTACATATAGAGCAAAAATAAAAATACTTTCTTGATATAATTCAAACTCAAGTTGTTGATTAAGCCTAGTAAGAAATCAATCCGTTTAGCAGTTATACGAGAACTGATAATCTCAGATACTCTCAACTGGCCGACTCGCGCATATGGTGCGTCTCGGCGTTGCTGCGCGCGATCTTTGCTTCGCGTGACTTGGCGCGAGACACTATCATGTCTCTTGATTATATATCATATTATATAAACGTGTTAAACAGGTTCAAATATTAACATTCAAACAATATTTGAGATAATATTTTTTAAACATTTTATAAATAATTGATAGTTCTATGTTATTAGGTAACATTGTGAAAATATTTATAAAACATTATGTTTAGAATAATGCATAAAATGCATATAAAATCAATGTTTCAAAATATTTGTTTAACGTTTCTTGCTTACTGAGACCCCACTCGATATTTTTGTTGCATTTCTACCATCACATTATATTGGCAAATTGTGTTGCCAGAAACTAAGCTTAAAGATCGATTCAGACTATACGGCACGGACCGTAACGGCAACTAAACGCACCGGCATGATGCATTTTAAATAAGACTGTCTACACTAATCGGCACCGACCGGCATGTTCCGTCAACGGGACGTTCAGGCACTGGCCGATATTCTCGCAAAGAATGTTTTGACGGTACGTTATCGATGCTTGTCTGTCAGTGTGAATCAGTAAACAGCAAAAAACGGATGCAGCAGAAGATGGACCAAGAAAAATTAATTGGGAATGTGAAGTTTTATGAGCATCTTATGAGTTTTATATGAAGTTTTACAAAATAGTTTTTAATTTATTGTATCTTGCCATTCAACGTGGTCGTGTTCTGTGATAAAAAATTCTGTCAAACTAGTGTCAGAACTATAATTATGCGCATGATCTTGTACATTAATACTGTAGTCTCGGAGATATATATGCAAAATGTACGTAGTCAAAATGATTTTATTTGCATTTTCTGGTTTTAACTTAAGCCTTCGATTGTAAAGCTGAAATTTTTGGCACAGTATTCCGAACATGTTTTCCGAAAAAATGTTTTTTTTCTCTTCGTATGCGTGAGAGACGGTAGTTGAAAATTTTTTAAGATTCTTTTTAAACATTTTTTATCTATCTTTGATGATCCATCCATTGTGACTGCTAAACATCAACCATCAATTGACGGACGATTGCCGAAACAATCCGAACATACACATTTTGTCGTGCCGGTGCCGGTGTACGCTGTTGCCGATACGTTACGATCCGTGCCGTATAGTCTGAATCGACTTTAATGAGGAAACCGAAATCTGCTACTGAGTAATCATGATTGAGTTTGCTGATATACTGATGGCGTATTGCTAGCAAATCCAATCATGATTTAGCCACAAATTTCGATGTGCTGTTTATTTATCAAGATTAGTTTCTGATAGCACGGCTTGCCAATATAATATGACGGTTGTGAATTAAATTAAATTTATATGGAAACTTCGATCTCTTTTGTTTTCAATAAACGGACAGTTCATTCATCCACTCAGTTTCAAACACTCAATTTATATTATACATGTTTATACATATTTATACATATTAAACTACAATAATAATATATTAGCAACTATAAAATATGATCTATCTTGATTAGTTTAAGTTTGCCCAGCGCAACAATGAGAAGATCTGGGTCGACAATTACATCAAATGGTCGGGGTAGTGCTAGTGTAATCGAACAAAATGGAAGCAAAATATCCGCAACAAATAGAAATCAGCTGGAGCCTAGTCCACACGAGTTACCAGTCAAAGATACTGATCGTACTATCGATGTAGCTAGTGCCGAATGTGAGTATATAAAATTTATTATTATAAACGTATAATAATCACTCATTTTTTCATCATCATGCAAAAGTATAAACATGCAAGATTACTGGAACAATAATACCAGAAAATGATTTTTTTCCGCAATTTGGTATTCGTATTACTGCAGATTTGGTGAATAATTGGTATTTGGTTCTCCTTTAATTAATAGACTATACACCGATATCTAATATCAATTTTATTCTTGCAGTAGGCATGGATAAAACATTAGGTAATCTAAAGACGCCTATTAAAAATGATGTGCCACGAATATAATTTCACTGTATTCAAAATTTGTAAGTGATCATGCTATGATAGGAAAATACTGTCAAGTTCATATTAGTTTATTAAACAGACAGCTATATATAAATGCTGCATGTGCAATTCAATTTTATGAATACAATATTTGATTAGAGAAACAAATATACGCTTTTATTCAAAATATTCTTTTTATTATTGTATTGTTTAGCAAAGATTTTTTTTTTTAATTATTTATACATTATTGAATATTCTTATATAATAGTTTTTAATTTTATATTTTTATAGTTATTTATTATATATTATCTAGATATTTACACATATAGTTAGTTTATTTTTAGATCATTGAGATAAAATAATAAAAAATAAAATGTTTTTATATGTATTATTAATTTTGTACATATTATGTATATATGGGGGTGTGTGTATATAGGATGTTCCATTTTCAAAGTAATATTCAAATATCTGAAAAACTAAGAATTATACAAAAAAAAGTTTTAAAAAAGTTTTAGTGTTTTGAAGGCACACAATGTAGTGAACATTGAACATTCTATAGATAATGATTTTCAAAACTATTTTAACTTGATTTTTAAAAATTAATCAATATTTTTTTAAATAGATGAACATTTTATTCTTCGAATTCTTTTGTTTAAAAAACATTTTTCGATTTGTTTATTAGTTTAAAAGTTACTTAACCAAAAACTTCCATAACCCGTTTTTGGCGTCACTTATTGCCAAGCTCAACGATGTGGATGTGACAGATATCTAATCTTCTGTGCGTGCGTGTCACCGGTAAAGATAAGAATTCCGAACCTTTATTAAGCGGCGGGGATACGAAATCTGAAACTTCACATTTTGACGGTACAAATTATGCTGCATCGAATATATAAGTAACGATTGGTTCTACTGATAGGAAAGAATACTTTACTTTTGCGTTTAATAGGGCTGAATTCAATTAGGGGTTGTTTTAAGCAGAAGGGATAAATATATTAAGTTTGTTTGGGTGGTACAAAATAGTACAAATTCAGCCCTTTCGATTTCTGGTCTTATTTTTATCTTTTTGTTTTGTTTTAGTATGGTCCTGCTAGCTTAATTTGATGGTAGCAGCGTCACGGTTTTTTTTGGAAATGGCACAAAGTATAAAATTATTATTAGTGGTACAAATTAGTACAAAATGGGTATTAAATAATCCGATAAGTCCAATTTGATTCTGCTGATTTGGTCTTGCTAGCTTAATAGAGATGAATTTCGAGGTTTCTCATTTTTTCAGTGTTTTCTGAGTCCAAAACCTCTCTTTTGGGATGAATGTATGAGTGTCTATGCGTGTGTGTTTTTACGATAATAATAAAAATAGAAAAGCCATCAAAAAAATTATAAGATAGATTATTGTTCAATTCAGAAGATGGTCATATAATTTAAAAGTGTTTAAGAATTTTTTGAATAATGTTTTTGGAAAGGATTTTACGTAATGAGTTTTTTACATTAGCTAATCAGAAATGTCATAACAAGGAAACGGATATCTATACGACATAACTGTCTGTTCCTCAAAGTTGGGCCGCTCCCATTCCTTCACGGCTCACTCCATTCTGTATATGTATAGAGCTCAATGTTATTTGTAGAACGCTCCTCCCAAAGGTTTGTCGCGGGTTTAGCGACCGCATACCAATGGGCTTTCTCGCCGCTGGTTTATAATCGCTTATATTCGAATTGGTCGATTTTTTAGAATAAATTTCTCAATAATTGCGAAAATCGCAAAATGATGAAGGACTTTTCTTCTCGGTTTAACCCGCTCTACCTGCGGCTCTATCTACACGAGAGATGATACGATTATTACTGGACATTCTGTATAATATATATGTTGTTTATACAGGGTGTTCTAAAACTACCGTATTTCCTCTTAATGGCAGATTCTTTAGAACATTTCAAGAGGAAAATCCTAATACAAAAATGTCGAGGCTATAATAGTTTTTAAATGGGAAGCGATTATATTTCACGAATGACAGGGCTGAGATTTCGCGCGCTCAGGCATGGCGAAATAGTAGACATCTTCATGGTAACATTGATCGACCACTTTGATAGCTGAAATTGAAACAAATCGCAAATTTTTACTTGAATCATTTTTAAGATTAGTTTTTATTCATTATTCGTAAAAAGAATATACTAATGCAATGCGTAGAAAAGCGGGAAAACATATAATGACAATGCTTTATACGATAATCATAATATCATAAAAAAGGCGCCCCATTCATAAAAGCACTTTTTTCACTTGTTATTTCGCCGTGCCTGAGTGCGCGAGATCTCAGTCCTGTTATTCCTAAAATATAATCGCTTCCCGTTTAAAAACTATTATAGTATCGACATTTTTACATTAGGATTTTCGTCTTGAAATGTTCTAAGAAATCTGCCATTAAGAGGAAATATGATAGTTTTAGGACACCCTGTATACATTCAGTTATTTTCTAATAATAGAGTTATATATAAAGAAAATTTTAAGTTATTTGTTTTAATGAAATTTTTAAATTATTTTTGTCCATGACAACATTATTTATTTAAATGAAATAATATATTAATATATAATAAATATTTTTGTTATTACAATTTTGTAAGGTATGTTATGACAAATTCAATAATGTACAATAAAGTGAGATTTTTAATAGTCACTCACGAGATATTGCATCTGCATTGTTTGTAGATATGAGTGGGAAAACTAAATATCTTCAATAAAAAAGTATTTATCGATCTTATTTATGGATCTTATCACCATCGCACTTGGCTTGGATTTTGCAAGATATCTTTCGCTAAATCTATAATTTTATTTACTTCTCGGTACGATAAATATTCATCACCTCGTATAAAAAAGAATTATTTTTATCTTTTCTTCAATCTAATTTCTCAAATTTAATTTTTGAACTGAAATTATATGATTTTTCTTTGGTTATGGATCATGTTATGGAACACTAATATAAATAATAATTGAATGATAAATTGGTTTTTTTTTATTTTTCTTATTGATATCCTCTAAATGACCCATAATTAGAAGGAGAAAATCATAATCTCAGTACAATAAAAATCAAATTTATAATGGCTTTAACTATTAAAAAAAAAAATAAATTCTTTTATGAGATGATATAAATATTTATCGTACCGAAAAATAAGTAATAAGTCCTCTAAAATCCAAACTATGTGCGATGACACGATAAAATCTACATTAATAAATTCTTTAGCTTATGCTATATATAGTTTATAGCATATTCTCAATACATCATAACCCATACAGCATAGAAAGGTTGCAGAAACATAAATATTTCAATGTAATAATAGAATTTTGTATATACATTGCGAAACGTTGCTACAATGTTGTTGCATTTTAAGGTCACTCCACGATCAAAGTGTTATAAATCGTTGGATTTGTCTTCTCATCTTCTACAATTATCATTGATTAAAAATAGAGCTTCCCATTGAAAAAATTTGAGATGACTTTTAAAACTTTTTGGCGCTTCCACCTAAAAAAAACTAAGATAATTAAAATGTAGCTCTTTTAAAATTATTTAGAGTTACAGACCTTTGACAGGCCTAAAACTAGGTCGAAATTAAAAATTTTTATTGTGGATAAAATTATGTTTTATTAAAAAATGAAAATACATGTCTTGTACAGTAGTCTTTTGAGACTACCTCCCCAAAATTTCAATAAAAAATATCAAAAATTGATATTTAGTGGCAGCTATTTTCCCGTACGGGATTTGTAAAAACAGCATTTGCGATACCAGAGATACCTCCGCTCTCTCTCATCTGAAACAAAAAACAAAAATTTTCCGTTAAACTAGATGAGTAAAACTAGTACTTGTCATAGGATTTTTTTTATTTATGGCTTACAAGGAACCTTCGGCAACGCGAAAATTCAAAAAAATCTGAAACTTTGCATAATTATAGAGTATTTTTTTTTAAAGGGTTGTTTTCACCCCTGAAACCGATTTTTAGCACCAACAAAAAATCGTTTCGTTATTAGGGACTACTACTCTATAATTATACAAAGTTTCAGATTTTTTTGAATTTTTGCGTTGCCGAAGGTTCCTTGTTAGTTGATTTATAGATCAAAACCGCATTTATCACTACCAATCGCTGCCATTTTTCAAAAAATCAATATTTTCAAAATCGGCTCTGACAAGTACTAGTTTTATTCATCTAGTTTAACGGAAAATTTTTGTTTTTTGTTTCAGATGACAGGGGGCGGAGGTATCTCTAGTATCGCCGTTTTTACAAACACCGTTTGAGAAAACAACTGCTAGAATCACAATTTTTGATATTTTTAATTGAAATAGGGAGATATTCTCAAAAGACTATTCTACAAAAGATACGTATTTTCATTTTTTAATAAAACGTAATTTTACCTACAATACAAATTCATTTATTTCTAGTTTTAGACCTGTCAAAGGTATGTAATTCTTTAACTTTTGTCTGAAACGTTTTTGTGTAAAATCATTATTTATGAAAATATCTTAGAAGGCAATTTCTAGTGACACTCTGTATAGATATTAAATGTTCGAAACATTCTTCATATACAGGATGACACGCAACGAGCGCCCACTAAGTACATAGAGTTATTCCTTACCAAAAACTGAGTCGAAAAGTCCTGAACCATTTTTTTTATAACTCTTAATAAAGGAGTTATTATTGAGTAAAGTCGGGCCAATCAGCCCGAAACTATAGTTTAAAATATGACAAATGTCTAATTTATAACTAATAAAGTATGCGCTCCGAAAACAGCACTGGCTCTAAATTGCCATTTGTACATTAATTAGTATTGATCTTAAGAGCCTATATTCACAGTTTAAAATGTATCAAATTAGTTGCATGCTTTTAAGGGGGCATACCCGTTTGAAATCTCGAAAAATGAGTATGTTTTCTACATTTTTTTGCAGCGCAACGACTTGATAAAAATTTTTAATTTTTTTACGATATTAATAACTACTTTAATACAATATTATTAACTACTTAAATAAAAATTACACTGTTCAACATCAAATTTGCCTTAAGTTCTACCAAGTCATTTCTGATAGATTTTTTAGCGCTGATTACAAATCTGGCTGTAAAAATGGTGTATCACGTCAAGTTTTTGAGAAAACTTTAGTCAAAGTTGCTAAAATAGGCGTTTTTGATACTTTTACGTGAATTGTATCTTCCGATGGGGACGTGCTACAGACGATAGCGACAACTCAAAATAAAGCTCCAGACTTATACTTTATGATAAAAATGTCAGAAGTCCCAGGCAGGAAAGATTTTCCTGAAAAAAAGTGGTCGAAACATAAGAAATATCTATTGCAATGTTTTCCAGTCATACGTCTTCAATTGTCCGTTACTAAATTTTTTTTTAGTAACAAAAGTAACCAAGAACTACTCTAATTTTGTTCTTAACTGATAGCAACCACAAAAATCTACACATACTCATGATTTGAATAATTTTTCAAAAATTTGATCCGCCATTTTGGATCTTCCATTTTTAATTTTAAAATTTTAACACGTAATTCGTGATAAATGATCAGGCAAATGTATATACATACCGACTTTCATGATTAGAATGATTTTAAAAAATTTTAGTAATGGACAATTGAAGACGTATGACTGGGGGACACTGCGATAGATGTTTCTTATGTTTCGACCACTTTTTTTCAGGAAAGCATTTCCTGTCTGGGACTTCTGGCATTTTTAGCATAAAGTATAAGTCTTGAGCTTTATTTTGAGCTGTCGCTGCCGTCTATAGCACGTCTCCATTGAAAGATATAACTCACTCCAAAGTATCAAAAACGCTTATTTTAGCAATTTTGACTGAGGTTTTCTCAAAAACTTGACGTGATACGCCATTTTTACAACCAGATTCGTAATCAGCGCTAAAAAATCTACCAGAGATGACTTGGTAGAACTTAAGGCAAAAAAAAAATTCTTATTTTGTCGACCAGTGTTATTAACTTAAAAAAAATTTTTTTTTAAAGTTAGGGGATATTTACAGAGCTCCTCCAAATTTTAGATGGCTGCACGATATGCATGAAAATGTTTGTAGATCATATCCGAAATCAAAAATCCAAGTTTTTTCTTATTAAACATTATAATATCTATCTGCTATCCAAGCATTTTTCCAAAATTACAAAAAATAAAAAAATGGCGGCGTGTTGAAAAAAAATCGGTTTTTTTTTTAAAAAGTCCATCTTTTTTTTATAACAAAAAAATAGGGAATCGGATTTAAAAAAGGCTTCGTTGGCAGATGCGGAATCTTATTAGAAACTCGTATGTAAAATTTGAAGTCAATCTGTCAAACGTAGCCCGAATTTTCATGCACACCGTGCATGATAACATAAATCTGCAAATATTTGAATAACTCCTAAAAAAAAACTTTTTTAAGCTGAAAATTTTTATTTAAGTAGTTAATAATATTGTATTAATATTGTAAAAAATTAAAAATTTTTATCAAGTCTTTGCGCTGCAAAAAATCTAAAAAATGTAGTCATTTTTCGAGGTTTTAAACGGGTATGCCATCTTAAAGAAAACAAAATAGATGATATAAAATATACCATACTGTAATATACCATACGCAACATTACACACAACAATACTGTAATAAAATTTTATTACAATATATTACAATATACTATATACTATGGCTGCGTTCCGATATTCACTGCCAGTACAAAAAATTTATAGTTTACGTCACGTATACTATAGATTTTCACTACTGGCAATGAATATATCGGAACGCAGCCTATATTATTATAATATATAATATTGTTACATACGTGTTCTTTTACTTGCCGCTACGTGGCGAAACCGGGCAATCTTGTATTCAAGTTTCCGCCACAAATACATATAAAGCCTACAAAGGGCAGTTGCTAACATAAGATCCAAAGTATAATATCTTTTTTGTGTTAATTTAATTTCTAATACAGTCCTAACAGAAGATTCAGAACACAAACAGATTATTTGAAATTGGGCGGTTAAATTAAAATTTTCCCATTTTTTACTGTCTATTAGAAACGAAAAATCGGAATTTCATTTTTATATAAATTTAATCTCGAATTTTATGAATTAAATATAATTTATTTTATTATATGTTTGACTCAAACCAGTGGCTTACCGATAACGTTTATGCAATATTATCGATAATATTAAGTTGTATTCATATAATAGTCATACATTAATATAATAGTGTCTATTGGGTTATTTTCTGTGAATGAAGTTAACATTAGTAAAAGAGTGATGCTTTCTTCTTCTTGTCATTTTGTTTTTCCTGCAAACAATCATCAAAGTCTGATCATAACAATCCATGATAAAAAATATATAGTACGATTATATCATTTAAAAAATCCATATTTTTATTTAAAAATTTAAAAGTCACCTTTAAATCTCCGAAACGTCCTCATCTAAAAAAAGTTAATGTCATCCATTTTATATTTTTCTTAAAACTATATAAAATTTTAATTTAATCCATTTTTCTGTAGTTAATAATATTGATGTAAATTAAAGTAATAATTTCAAGTATCCCAACCCCTGTATACATATAAATTTGTACCATACGTTTTGTATTTGTGATTTTGATAGTTTTGATTATTACACCATGAGAAATCATAGGTACATCATTCAAAAACTCAAAATAATATTTCTTTAAATCATTAATAGATCTTAAAAATTCGTTATTAGAAAATTACATGACTCGATATATAGATATCAATTATAATAGCATGATCTCATACGGATTTTAGAAGCAATGTAACTTGTCCGCTGCATGATATGTCATTTACACTATCATACTTTATTCTGTTAAATTTATAATATATACCTAATATTGATATGAATTTTCACAGTGTCCACGCAATTGTGTAATACGATCGCGGACGAACTCATGCGAACTGCAGATAATGTTGTGCAACTATACAAACGTTTGACGATAGACAATGATGATGACTCCTCTACAGAAGCAATCGATAGGGACACGATGCTACGAGGACTGGAATCATCTGTTAACGAAACTATGCGTACTTTAAGATTGGTCATCGCTGGTAATGAGAGTCATAACGACGGAAGTAGCAAGAGTATCATCACTAACGAGGCGACTGCGAAGTTTCAAGAATTACTCGCAGGTCAGGATCAGGGCAAGGTAGTTAATATGATGCAGCAGTATTCCGAATTACTTTTGACTATGATGCAACAGCGGATGGGAGGAACCCAATCAAGTCATACGTAAAATCCGTCCATTGATAAAAGGAATACAATCATTTTCATATTTAATGTATTGGCATATCGGAGATAATGCAAAGAATGTGTCTCATGGTAATCTCCTTTTAAACATTGTATTCTTGATAATTCTCTAACATTTTGATTTAAAAAATTCAAATATGCTTTAAAACTGAAAAAGAAATATTATTTCGTAAAAATTTCATATGCTTATCATAACTGTATGAAAATTTTTTCTTTTGCAACTGGTTGATTGTACTCGATTTTGTAACTAATTCGCTTTTAAATTCGATAAAATTAATTACTCGATATATGCAATTATAGCACAAAATTATGTTGCACAAAACTTGTCACCATTTTTATATCATGGAAAAATATAAATCATTATTTTCAATTACTGTCGCGATATTAAAATTAGTCTATGTAATTTATATTTGTTTAAAGAAGAGTCATACGATAAATTAAGTAAATGTAAAATAACAACCGAATTACATTTCACATTTTAATATAAAACTGATTATGACTCATCCATTATATCTTAAGGCCATATGCCATGAAATGCCAATTAATTAAAGACTAGTAGAATAGTTTTTTTTTAAATACAGGTATGTATGTGCGTATACATGCGCCTACGTGTGGACATGCGTGCGTGTGTGCTATGAGACTTGTATTATAACATAATAATTAATATTAATGTTCTTATGTAACCAAAGGTTGTATGTATTAATGGTCTAAAGGATGAATACCATCTTTTCTTCATAATTAAAGCTTCGCAAAAAATCATAATAAAAAGTACGTAGCATAAACTTGCCAGTATAAAATAAAAGCATATAATTTTATAATCATTGCATTAAGTACGAATCAAGCTTCTCAAGTTTATCGACGATAAAAATTGCCTCAATAAGTGACTATTTCCGAATCAATGAACTATATTTTAATAGAACTTAATACTTGTAACACATAACTTATGGAAAAAATTATTTTATTTAAGATTATTAAATTTATTGATTAACAAGGGATATGTCACAACTGTCCTGAACCGATTCTCCTTGAAATATATTATTGAACACAAAAATATATAAAAAACACATATTTTTTTACGTTTTTTTTTTAAATTTAAGGGATAAAATCGTAATAAAAAGTACGCAGCATAATTTTGCTAGTATAAAATAAAAGCATGTAAAAGCCAAGTCTGCCAAGATCATGTATTGCAAATTATGCGCTACGATAGGTCGTGTTCCGATATTCACTGCCAGTACTGAAAATCTATAGTTTACGTCACATATACTATAGATTTTCAGTACTGGCAGTGAATATCGGAACACGGCCATATTATGTCGGCAGAACTTCGGTAGCAGCCGCGCATGATCTGCCGTCTCATAGTTAGTGCCAGCAGAAATGTAGCAGAAAATATAAGCAGTCTTTGCGTCATGATATGCCACAAAAAGTGCTGCAAAATTTAAGCAGAAGTTTTTGACATAAAAAAGATTTTAAGCATTGCGTATTGGCACAATATATCAACAGAAACTAAATAAAAATTGAACATAATGGCATCATGCTATTTCGGCAGAATATCGTCTGAAATCGAGTTCAAGCACGACATGACGGCAGAAATGCTGCAAAAATTAAGCATGTGTTGCCATCTTAAAAGATAACAGCAAAAACATAGCAGAAGCACAGCATGCTCTGTTGACATAAAATAATGGCAGAATCACAGCAATATTAAGATATGTTATTCGAATTATATGATATCGAATTATAATTCTTTCGTTTACCGCTATATGACATATATATATATATATATCATATTTAAGTTTCTGTCACGGGCAAGTATAAAAACTGCAAAATGCGGCTAACAGAATTAAAAATGTGTAGTATTTATGTCTATCAGTTTATTAATTTCTGATACGATTTTCGAACAGAGAATTCAGAATATTCTAAACTGATGATTATTAAAATTTAATTATTATTAATTATATAACTATATGTATATGCCAATCATTTATATTGTATAGAACATAATTATACGATATAACATGTGTGTTACATTATACATATACATACTAAATTTATGATTGTAAAAATTACAAATAACTGGCGACTTATCAGCGCGACTATCGTAACATTTATGCCATAATATTTGTAATATTTAGTTTGTGATAGCTGCTCATGCTGCATTTTTGCTGCGTTTTTCATGATTTTTACTGCACATTGATTTTTATCGTTTTTCTACCGTTGATTTCGGATACGGCAGACTCTGCTCGATATTTCCTGCATATTTGCTGCCACATCATCGTGACAGCAAATAATGCTCGATTTTTGTTGCAATTTTGCTTTTACATTGTGCTAGCAGCTTATGCTGGTAGAAAGTAATTGCGGACGCAATAGATAGGAATCTGCTGCAAAGTCATAATTGGATTTACCATACATTTTTGGAGGGACAAAATGTACTCGTACATTAAAGAACATTTTTTTTGCATAACAGTTTTCTAGACAGACGCGTAGATATGGCTTTTTTTAATTTAAAAGAAAAAGGATTTTTTAAAAGTATAATATTATACCTTTTCTTTAGTTTTATATACATATATACAGGGTGTCCTAAAACTATCGTATCTCCTCTTAATGGCAGATTCTTTAGAACATTTCAAGATGAAAATCCTAATACAACAATGTCGAGGCTATAATAATTTTTAAACGGGAAGCGATTATATTTTATGAATGACAGAGCTGAGATTTCGCGCGCTCAGGCACGGCGAAATAGTAGACATCTTTATAGTAACATTGATCGACCACTTTGACAGCTAAAGTTGAAACATGTCGCAAATTTTTACTTGAATCATTTTTAAGATTAGTTCTTGCATCCATTATTCGTAAAAAGAATATACTAATGCAATGCATAAAGAAGCGGGAAAACATATAATAACATTGGAAATTTATACGATAATCTTAATATCATAAAAAAGGCGCTCCATTCATAGAAGCACTTTTTTCATTTGTCATTTAGCCGTGCCTGAGCGCACAAAATCTCAGCCCTGTCATTCGTAAAATATAATCGCTTCCCGTTTAAAAACTATTATAGCCTCGACATTTTTGTATTAGGATTTTCGTCTTGGAAATCTAAGGAATCTGCCATTAAGAGGAGATACGGTAGTTTTAGGACATCTTGTATAATAATAATCAAGAAAAGATGATGTATTTATCTTACTTTTAGTATAATGGTGAAAGTATATGCTACACTATATAATACTGTTATTTATATACATATTATAACAACACACGCGCGCGCGCGCGCGTACACACACACACGTCCGCGCACACGACACGCCCGCGCACACGATACGCCCGCGCGCACGCACACGCCCGCGCACACGACACGCCCGCGCACACGAACACGCCCGCGCACACGAACACGCCCGCGCACACGAACACGCCCGCGCACACGAACACGCCCGCGCACACGAACACGCCCGCGCACACGAACACGCCCGCGCACACGAACACGCCCGCGCACACGAACACGCCCGCTAGCGCACACGCACGCACATGCACACGCGCACACACACGATATTGAACTTTATATACAGAGTATCCAAAAAAGACCGGGACCCCTTAAAATCTTGGAAGTGTTACGTTACAGAAAAAAAATGTTTTATACAAAAGTTGCAGGGTTCAAAAAGGGGCACCTGATGGTAACCTTGGCCTTGAATTTGGGATCAAACTTCAAGGTCAACTTAAAATTTTTTAATGGCAATCTCTATTTTTCTTTGTATATTCTTATAGCTTATCTCGAGATCTTTTCAAAACACTATAATAAAGTATTTTTTCATTAAGTAATTATTTTTTTATAGCAATTGATTGGTATAAAAATGAATAGATAGACGTCGCCCGCGATATTTCAAGTCGATAAAACTCGTATAATATGTAAAATATTTACATTATATCATACATTTCAAACAGTGCTACAATTTTTGTCATATCGAAATATTCACATTATTATAAAAAAATTATGCATACCTCTCCGTTCGTTAACACAAATAGCTTTTGAAAGCAACCATTATGCTCACAATAGAGTTCAGTTTGAACCATTTAATTTGATATACAGGGTGTATCCTAAAAAGTGACAAGTATTGCAATGAGAGATTCAGGACACAAAAAGAAGAGAAAAAATTCATATAAACATATGTCCGATATGACCGTGTTTTCAAGTTATAGCTTGTTTTATTTTTCAACAGAATTAAAAGATAATTACGGTCAGAAAGTGATCAAAATGACTACCTCTAACTTGAAATGCATTACCGTCGGCTAATCCATACATGAGATGTACCTCTGCCATTTCATTGTTTGACCAAACCATAGTTTTCACTTAAACGTACTTCTATCGTTAATAGTACTAACGTACGATACGAATACCTTACCTTCACTGAACACAAGATATGAACCGTATCACTTACAACACAAATAATACGCGTTTATGTTTACAAATTAACAAGACCTTAAGTCCTTTAAATCTTGTACATAAACAGCAAACCGATATCCAAGTATGCTATCTTAACTCTATTGGAAAATAAAACAACCTATAATTTAAAACAAGGTTATATGGGATATATGTTTATATGAACTTTTTCTCTTATTTTTGTGTCCTGAATCCCCCATTGCAATACTTCCCACTTTTTAGGATACACCCTGTATATTTGTTATGATCTATCTTCTTTAGTTTAAATTTAAAAGATAAAAAGGAGTGGCCACTTTTGTAGGACATCCTGTATATATAATGTGTGTGCGCACGCATGTGTGTGTAAATTAATATAAAATGAATTTTGCAATAAGCAGGTGTGCAGTTTAGAATTATTATTATTTTAATAAACGTATGCAAAGTATAAAATTGTTAAGCTAATTTAAATATTGCAGGAAGTTTGCTTATAAAGAAGTAAAGCTAATATATATATATATCCTGGATACCCAGCAAGCAAAATGATGCAAACTTTGCGCAAAGTTTGCAGCAAACCCGAGCATGCCTTTACAGCAAAATTGTGACAAGGTGTGTCCGCAAAAAGCTTAGCTTTTGCTGGCAAGGCTTGTCGCAATAGTGTGATACACATTTTGCGCAAATAATAGAGCAAATCTTGCCGTGCACGGCATGACAGCAAATTTGTGGCAAGAACAGGACAAACCTTGCTGTGCACGGGATGACAGCAAATTTATGGCAAGAATAGGGCAAACCTTGCCATGCACGATATGATAGCAAATTTGTAACAAGATCAGAACAAACCTTGCTGTGCATGGCATAATAGCAAATTTATGGTAATTTTCTATACGGGGTGAGTGATTCAGGACTTCTGTGACAAATTGTGAGAAACGATAAATCTCGCAGAGAGGACTATTTTGTGATTAAAGCACACCTTGTCGCAAAGCTTTGGCAAAACGTGATTTTAACATTCTTGGCTATCTGGGTAGTTTTGGATCAAGTAATCACATCACATTACTTTTTACTTTTTATACGTCACATCAAGGAATGCTATTCAGAAGAAAAATGAACAGCCACATTGCTTTATAAGCAATCTTCTTGCAATTAGATATTAGATTAATAATTTTGAACTCTTTCGGGACGATGTCTCATTAAATTTCGGATCTTTTAGGATTTTCCATGTCCTTTCTTGGCGCGAGATACTACCATGTCTCTTGATAGCAACCTTTAGTATGTATTAATGAAGGATGAGTGCAGATGACTGAATTCACATTTAGAGAGATTCTTTTATTTAAAAATATATTTCAAGGAGTATCAAATTGATTCTGGATAATTGTGATATATCTTATACATATATATAATTTTCATATGAAAATATTAAACTTCTTTTTAAAGAATAAAGCATTGAATGAAAAAACTATAGTTGATATACTTAATTTTTCATAATGATACATATAATTGACTACATATTACACATCATATAGGAATTAAACTACATTCGTATACTTTTTCATATAAATATATTATTTAAAAAAGACAAGTTTCTACAGTTCCATATAACAGTATCGATTTTAATTTAACTATTTTGTGCTCAAATTAACAATTAACAAATAATATATTTCAGTGAATTTTACACAAAAAAAAATTGTATTGGATGATCGAAATATTAAAAATACATATGACTATTCTTTTTTTAATTTTATGCGTTTTGTATCTTATTTTAATATTTTATTTATTCTTTCTTAATGTTCTTTGTAAAATTCTAGTATTTAATACATAATTTGAACGCCATTTAGGTTAAACTAATGCCACATACACATAATAGTATTTATATTATGTTTATGTTTTAATTTATTTCTTGCAGGAATATTTCCATACAGCACAGAACGTTGCAGCAACATTGCAACATTGTAGTAACATTGCGGCAATGTTATAATGTTGCTGCAACGTTCTGTGCTATATGGGATTAATTTTCATTTATCTGAGTTACATTTCTAATACAATATTCGGGAATATATATATTTTTAATCGAGAATAAGTTATAAAACTAAAAGTTGGATATTATGTTGAGTGACATCAATTACTTTTATAGTACAGATGCTAATTTCTATATATATATA